GCAAATAGGACATAGGGACACTGAGCGAGGGTAAGTGGCTGTGGATAACTCGGAACTGAATCCATTAAGCATCTTTGAAATTTGGATTCTCACCTGGCTCCAAGTAGCCATAGACGCGTTGTCAAAATGGTCTAGCTTTTGGATAAAATAGCCTTCACTGGCGCCAAAACCATCTTGTCCAGCCATCATCTGAAAAAATCTGTTCTGCGATGTCGATCCTATTAAATTTCTTGAAAGCTTGCGACGTACCGTGTCATGTTCAAGTTTGTGATGGATTTTCATGCCGAACATTGGCCGTCCCAAATGGAAATTCGGTGTCCATGAAGTGACCTGCCATGCCTGAAAAATACGTACTTGCTGACGCCTTAACATGAGCCTGATACCTGCCGCGCGAGCACCTCAGTCTGATGTCTAATTGATTAATTTTTGATTTACTGATGCCACTTACATGTCAGGGCTTGACGTAACACAGGGCGGGGGGTACTTCACCATATTCAAGCTCAAAAGAACTAGGGACTTGCCATGGTTCCGGATACTACCTACACAAAAGTTTCAAATCAACAAGCTTCCGTCAACAACATGGAGGGAGAGAAATACTCACTGGCGGCGCATACGCGAGAGCGTATTGGCTCTATATTTCAGGAGCTGTACCAACTTATCCACAGCTGTGCCGCCAACGAAATGATTGTGCTATGTACAGGTATGACCCTTGCACTAGGAACTGTGATTTTATGAAAATGTAGGAAAAGTCGAGGCTTTCATGTGCAAACCTCTAGGAGTACACAGACATGTTGAAATTGATTGAATCAAGTCCGTTCTTCGAGTTCGATTCCTACTTACTTCTACTTATCACACAGTGAAATAAGAGCACGATAGATGCTCGGACTCCTCAATGCATCAAAGTATTGATGGTAGAGCTGGCCCTTGCTCGCTCCCTTCGCCGCCGCTGTGACGTCACCAACACGCAAACGCGTCGCGCCGCCTGTGAGCTTTGGTACAAGCCTCTTACTGCCTTGGTACAAGAATACGCTAGCCCTAATTTTGACAAGCGTTTTCAACGGATTCAAAACCACACCAGCTTCATACAGAGCGTGCTTTTGAACACTCTCTGCGAAAGGGATTGTCCGTCATACACAACATTGAAAGGCTTTTCATTTTTATTCAATTTCGCTGTGTTAAGGCATTGAATGAATGAATGAGCGGAATTGGAGGATAGGCGAGAGAGCACAACTGATGGGAGGGCACATACATTCTCACA